AGAATTTGGTTGTCTGCCAGTAACATCATTAGTGTCAAATCCCGCAACGATTGTCTGGGCAAGCCTTCATAAATGTAGTTTGGTAAAAACAGTTGAGTTTTAAACAAATTTTACGCTTTTTTTGTTGGCCGTCTGTCTGACTGACATTGGCTCGAATGCCTTATCGAATTATCATTATCCCTCTTTACATTCAGCTTCGTAGCTGGCTAGGAAATATTCACTGCCTTAGATGCTTTTCGCTCAGCAAAGAAGAAAGGAGAATGGAAAACTGTGGAAATTTATAAATGCCAGATTTGTCTGATAAGGCAGGCCCTCATCTGATTGTTTGAACACTCGGTAATTTAGTATTTTACTTAATTTTCTGGGACGTCTGCAAAATTAGGCTCAGAAGAAAGCGGATTTGATGTCGGCTTTGAGTAGGTTGAGCTTTGTAAGGAAAGAAAACAACTAAATTTACCACACAACCTAGGTCTCCTTTTATGAAAGACAGGCGCTAGAAAATGGACTGGGCTAATCAGTACTCGATTCTTGTTTTTTTCCTCGAACAGATTAAGATTTCCTCAAACAGGTTACATGTGCTCATGAGTTTTTATTTTGGGTGCATGTTTAGCAAGAACTAATTTTTAAGGCAAATTTAACTCTTTACTGACTTTTTTTTTAGCGCCCTGGCAACTTCAACTAGATTTACCATCCCGAAAAGTTTACAGAATTAATCATCACATTTCACAGATGTGATTTGCCCGTCCGCACCCGTCACCTCGGCCTTCCTCTCTTCCGTTCCTGGCGCTCTCCATTTCCACAGCATGAGCATTGTTGCTCGGAGTTGATGATGATGGTGCTGCTCAATAATTTTTTTTTAAAATTGATTAGCACTTTGAACTATTCCTGTGCCTCATAGCCTCCTAGCGGGCGGCACATCCGATCAACCCTTCGAAAAAATTTTTTGATTTTTTGAAAAATGAATTTTTTAGCATTCTTGTTCTTTGCGAGAAGTTGTCTCGTCTGCTTGCAGAAGTTTGAGTTTACATAGTTGGAGCAGTAGACTGTGAACTGGAGAACAGCTGACCTAGGTACCTCTTGGCCTTTTTAGACTTGGCATGTAGCTAGATCTCAGGAACAGTGAGGCACCACAGTGGTAAACCAGAATTCACTTACCATATCTAGTACGTTTTCTCTACGTTACTTGCGTCATGACGTGCCACTGAAGTTCCCCGAGCATCCTGTATTATAGAGGGTAAAAAAAGACAGGATCAATTGGTGTAAACCCCAAAAACAGCTGATTTTTGGCAAATTAATTTAAATTAGCTATTTGATCGTAGTTTCTGTCCACATTGTTGTTGTAGTGTGTGGTATAAGTAAGAATTTGAATCCGGAGGGAGGCTAAAATATGGATGTCACATCCAAGGAAGGCAGTAAGTGGATGACTTATCATGTAAGATAGTGGGGTCAATTTCAGTAAAGTCAGTTACTGATGACCATTAGTAACTGACCTTAGTTACTGATGACCAACATCAGTTACTAATGACCAGTGAATGGACAAAGTTTGTGACCGTAATGATTGAAGATCTTTTGGCAAAAAGCATTGTTCCTTTTCGGTGTGTCTGTTTCTGTAATTATCGAATCACGTATCTCTCCCATTAACCTCGCTGTTTGGGTTGCCCTCTTTTCTTTCTTTCTCGTTATTCTTTCACTTCATCATTGCCCATTATGGTTACCGTATCATTGTGTCCAGGAAGCAGTGAAGAGTTATAGATTGAAATGCTTTTCTACAGCGGGTCTGGTAAATTTTAAATGATAAAAACATCTGGTACCACTCCGCAGTTCCATCCGCGCTCACAAAGGAAGTTATGGCGATGTTCAGGTCTTGATAATTTGACCAACTTTTATAGTGTCGTTCTTCAAACTATACAGCTGGCAACTTTTCCACAGCTTTAGCCAATTTTGCATCACCTCAGGGTCAGCTTGTTGGCGATCCAGGTGTCTTTTTTTTTTTCTTGAAAGACCAACTTTAAGAGGCAGCTCTAGATAGGGACTTTTTTTTGCACAAAAATTGCAAGCAAATCGCTCACAAACACGCGGATTTGATTTATCTTGCGTTAAATCCTCAGTCGAAATAATCAGATATCTGTCTTTGTTTTTTCGTTTCACTTTTCTTAAAAGGAGCAAGCACTCAAAAGTGGTATGGGTATAAATGCTTAGCCAGCTCTTGCCATTTGCTGAGAAGACTGCCGATGGATTCCTCTTTCTAGGATTGCTTCTCAGAAGTAAGCTGTTGCCGGTTTTAACTACCTAGCAGTATATTCTTCAAATAATGGCTTTTTTTGTTGAGCCTTGGATATGTATTATGAGTTATCACTATTGTTATGTATCATCACTAATATCCTTATTATCTTCACGAAATTCATGATAAAAATTTCTACAGAATGGTTTGGAGCAACAGCATTCGACACTGGCAATGATCAACATGCTGAATATGGCGCAGCTAATATCGATGGCCTCAGTTGGACCAACCGCTGCCGCACTTCCGAACAATATCCCAGCTGCTGCTGCTGCTGCTTCGCAAGCTCAGGCAGCATTAGCAAACTTGGCAGCTGGCTTCTCACCAATGCTCACTCCATTCGGAGCAATTGGTTTGTTTTTCTGAAGCACTGCAGGCGTAGATTTCTGAAACTCAAAGTGTTTGGCTGAAACATTCCTTTTCAGATTTGTCCTATTAGCTTTTATTCGCCATCTTAACAAGCGTAAATTTCTGAAATTAACACCACTGAACCGAACATTCCTTTCCAGATTTATTGCACATTACTTAAATATCCCACCAACTTTTCCTTTCTTTTTCATTGATAATCAACAAATGTCAGTTATTTAGGCATAATTTTACTTTCACCCTAATGTGGATTATAATCAGGAATACAAAGACTGCCAGGGCAGCCATTGTGGATATTCCGTGTTAGCGATGTTACTGTGGTTCTCTCACAAGTCAAGCACAGCTATCCAAGCCTTTCGAACATGGGCTGCATTATTCCAGTTGATATCTACCGCTTGAGTGTATGTACAGTAAGAATCGCCCTGCTGAAGTGCCGCTGGAAAATGACCACAATCGGCCACAGGAGGGGCAAAATTATATTTTAGAGGAATTCTAAAGTTGCAGGATCTCAGGTTTTTTTAAGGCAAAGACTAATCAGATTCAGTTTTAGAGACAAGCTGTGTTTTCTAGAGAGAGAGAGAGAGCACAAAAACCAAATTATGCTTGAAATGAAGCTTAATTTTTGTTACACCAAAACGTACATCACTTGTGATCCTTTGAAACTAAGACATATTTTATCAAAAAAAGAAGGGAAAATTAGTAAAGTCGCATATCAATTAAAGCAGCAAACTTGACAATTATAAGTTCTCAAACTTTGAAATACAAAAATTATTTTCGAATGTTCTTGAAGAATGGGCGTGTAAACATGTGGGTAAACGAACATACCAAAAGAGGCAAATAAGTAGTCAATAATAAGTGCAAATTCGTTTTTCGGAGTTTTGCGCGAAAATTATCCTGCTAACGGAAAAAAAGCTAATTGCTAGTCGGGAACTTTGTATTTCCGACTAACCATCTTCAGTCATACGAAGCGGATTCTTCTACCAGTTACTGCCAAGTTCCACTTGCTACGCAGTTTTGATTTTCAACACTAAACGTAGTACTTGGCTCCAAATACAATGGCAGTAATAGAAGTAGCGGTGCTAAGTAATGATGATAGAAGTAGTGGTAGTGATAGAAGCCGAGCCGAAGGGGAAGTCGCAAAATTGGAAAGTCGTAACAGCCAGAGAAGCCCATAGTGGACGAATCCTCAGAAACTCTATAGACACGGATCACAGGTTGAGATGCTAAATCTAGAAGGGTTTCCTGACTCCTGATATGATATGATAATTTAGAATGCTTTGTTCCTTCACTGGATTTCAACGAAATTTTGCCTATCTCAGATAAAAAAGACTGAAAAGCTTCGTTTTCGCGACACCTGCACTGTTTATGTATATTTGGAAAAGTTGGCTGTTTTTTTTTTCGCCGATGAGAATTTGTTCAGCCAGTGCTTTTGTTTTTTTGATCGCGCTTTCTGGTTTTCAAAATGAGCCGAAATTATCCACATTCTTTCAAATTTGAGAGAAATTTTAAAGCTGAAGAGGAAAAAGATAATTAATTTATCCAATTGAAAAACAATATTTTTCATTTTTGTCTCCCTTTTCCAATGGCTTTTCAAAATGAGATTATTTTCTGGAATGCTTTTATTGATAGTGCAAAAGTTCTTTTCTCCTGCAGAAAATTTTTCCAGGATTTTTTGCAGGCGAACATCGGAGGAGGGAGGAGGAGAGAGCATAAAAGGAAAGAGCAGGCAGTTGCTGTTCATCTCTAAATATGTGAAGCAGTATTTTGGAGGTGGAACCGTTGTCGAAATTTTGCTTTCGGCTCTCTGCTTTCCTTTTAGTCGTCAAATGCTCCAGGAGTAACCAATAGCTCATAGCTTAGCGCCAAACTCTGTCGCTTAGGAGTATAATCTGCCATGCCTTTTCGTCAAAACTCTGCTCACACTTATCGCTTATAAATAATAAACTATGGAAAATGCATATTACTAAGACATTTTGGGTATCCCATGTTAATGATGTTATTGGGATGCTTTCATGTACCAGACATTCCTATGCCTGGCCGTAGCTCCAATTAACGGCCTATTCGATATATCTGCGCCAACCTTTCGCGGGTCGCTCAAGCGGTCATTTTTTCCGCGCTAGTACCATTCACTAATTTGTGATTCCCACATTGTTATATAATGACTGTTACTGGATAGATATACATGTTAATAGTTATGAAGAGCTATGCGTATTTGTAATTAGAGTGTTAGTAATTGGAAGGAATATGAGTAAAACTGTAAAAGTTTTTATAGAAACATTAAAAAAGAGATTCTACAGAAGATGATTCACTGAAAATTCCTTGAAAGAAAGAAATTTATTTTTAGTGAAGGTTGCAATTATAAAACTGAAAAGGAATATTTCGGCCCATGAAGCCTTATAGATTCCAGCGCCACAACTATTTTTTAAAAATGCATATTGAAATCAGTTAAGAATCGAAAATAATAATGCATTTGCGCTCGGTGTTTGTGAGATATGCTAGTAACATCGCTAACATAGGGTTCCATACCGTTTATCGGGAAAGTTTTGCTGTTCTTAGTACTAGCTGTTGATTTCTCAAAACAAATTTTTTACATTTGCCATTCTTCCCAGTTTGCTTCTTGTTTGCCACATTATCATTATTTTTTCCTCTAAACATGATTTATCAAAAAAAATTTTTTTTAGGACAAGTACCGCTTTCTAGCGACTCGACAACGGCATCAACCGCAACTGTCAGTGAGCCTACAGCAAGTACCCCAGATGACGAACGAACACCACGTACCGGCGTAGCCTTTCGGAAAATGCTGGAGTCTTATGGTTAGCTGAGTTGCTGCTTTTTGTTTCAATATCTTATCATGACCCCCTTGGAGCAAGATTTACCACGCATTTTAAAATGTGCTGTAGCTTTTATACTGTACTGAATTATACAGATTATATGAACAGCAAATATAATAATATTTGTGGGTTTTTTTGCTGTCTGACTCAGTGCAATGGCGGTTGGGAAATACGTAGACAATACCCGAATAATTTCAAATTTTAAAAAGTTGGATTAAATAACAAACAAAAGGAAAGAGCGCATCGGAATAAGTTATATAATAAACGGATAAGGAATCTCTGAATGAAAATGTTTCGATCCATCAAGTCGCG